AACAGGACTTAAATCAGCCAAATTTTCAAGTGGGATTGTTTCAAAGTCTGTTACCGGCTGGAAGTAAATAAGAAAAAATAAATTATATTGAATTTGAACATAAAGTTCTAAAAAATAGTAAATATGTTATAACTCACCGGTATATTTTCGCATGTTTCAATTTGTTTGCTTAATATTCCGGTTTTTGTTCGTGGTCCAGTGGTCAATGATTTTTCCAAATAGTTAAATAAATGCCGAAGTGGAAGTTCGTTAAAGTGGAGAAGACACACAAACCAATGAAGAGGCCTATTTAACTGAATTTCAAATCGACGTAAAATTCCATTTTTTACGCCTGTATTTGCTGGTTTACCATTGCAACATATGCCTATCAAAGAATCGAGAGCTATTCCTTTATCAGCGAAAAACTCGTTCAATTTGATTACTTTATTTTCCGAATCTTCATTTTCCAATTTTGTGTAACCCAACAATTGACTATTCGGTTCCTTTAAAATAATTAAATGCGCCTCTTTAATCATTCGTGGGTGAAACTTTTTATCGATTTTTTCCATGGTAATAGATTCATTTTTTCGGCCGTCGAATGAAAATGCTATTAATTCAGAAAAATCATATCGTTTGTGTAGAGCTTGCCTATTTTTCTGCCTTTCACGAGCGCTTTTATTTTTATCCATAATGACAGGATTGCCCCAATCATCCTTTATGTCCAGGTCTTTCAGGATTGCTGTCACCACGGCAGAACCAGCTCTATCAGAGATTGCAAATCTGTCGCATATTAAGGCATAGTTTGGAGCTTTGTATCTTCGACTATATGGTCCACGTTTTATATGAGAAGTATTTTGTGAACTTTCCAAACTGCTTTTAAACTCAAAACCAACATCTGGAGTATATGTCTCACCTGGAGTAATATCGCTAGTTATTGTAGATGCTGATACTTTATCTACAATTTTTATAACATATTCTGGTATCGTAGATTTCCTCTCATTATGTTGATCCATCACAAACGCTTGTAAGTGTGCTGGGATCAGTCCGCAGGAACACAGTATTCTTTGCAAATGGCATTTGCATTTTCCAATATAAAATAATTCTTTCGTGGATTCTACAAACTCCTGAAATGATGCTTGGGTAGACTTGCTTTTATTTGTACTTTTATATTTATCAATCAATCGGTTCAATTTTCTAGCGATACTTCGTTTCTCCATAATTGGAATATCAATTTTTTCCCACGTCTGAATCAATTTCGTTACCACATTTGGAGAAATGTTTTATATGAAAACATTTTGTTTTGTTTTTTTGATTTTTCGGCCAAATAAAAATAATACCTGATAATTTCTATACTCAAAACTCTCATACTATTTTTATTGATGTAAGGCCTGACTTTTCAACTCAAATTAGATATATATATATATATATATATATATATATATATATATGGCTTAGTACGCGGCATACATCATCACGTCATAGTTCATTTATGCTACTATTTTTGTATCACTATTTTTATTTTATTTTTATTTTAACTTTTTTCATTTTATACTGAATTTTTTGTATTTTTTGTATTTTTTCTTTTTTGCACATATCCATTTTGTAAATAAGACATTGAAGTCTTGATTAACAAAAATAAATATTTGTTAATGTATTTGTTTTATAAAATATAATATCAGTACTTGCGAAAGCTTTTTGCATTCAAATGACATATTTTCATGCCACCAAAAACGAGTTGTTAATAAAGCAAGCTATTGCCGTCATCAAATACTCGAGATGCATTGTTGAATTAAAAATAAGTCAGCACCTTGAAGAGAATAAGCATACAGTATCGATATTTATTGACTTAAAGTAAGCTTTTGATACAGTGGATCACAATTTATTAATTATTAAACTAGAAAAGCTGAGATTTGAAGGTTTGCCATTCAGCATTATTAAAGAATTCCCATCAGAAGATGCAGTGCGGATCAAGGTACGGACCAATGTCACAAGAAATAGGAGCAAAATAAACTGTGAAGTTCCACGAGGTTCAGTATTAGGACCTTTATTATATCTCATATATACGAACAATCTTCAAGAGGCAAAAATAGAGGGAAAATACATCCTATACGCCTACGATACTGTCATAATTTATGCAGACAAAGGCAAAGAAAGACTAGAAAAAATATACATTTTAAACGAAATAATATAAGGAAAATACTAAAATAAACATTATAATGAATAATATAGAGATAGAAGAAGTGCAATACATAAAATACCTGAGCCTAATAATACATGAAATGGTAACATAGACAAAACATATAAATGAAATGATAAAGAAGATAGCGGCTTTAATGAGATTTTTGAAAAGCATCCACTCCTTCGTCAAAAAAAGAGAAACTAATCCTCAAAGCGCATATAATGCCTATAATTTTGTACGGAATACCAATATGGAGCCAAACGTAAATGACGTACAAAGACTAATAAATAAAGTCACAACTAGTGGTGTATGGCGTCGTGGCTTAAGGCAAATTGCTGATACTTCCCGTACAGTAATAAAATATTCGAGGAATATTAATTTTTTTTTATGTTTACAGAAAAGTATATAAGCAAAACTTAATCAATCGAAGATAAAATGAGGGAAATTGTCTAATATATATATATATATATATATATATATATATATATATAAATACAAAGTTAAATTTATTTATTTGAAGTATATAAGTGAGCTTTAAAACTTCAGCTAGAATCAAAATTAAAATCCGAATTATTTTCGATATACAAAAAAAATATTAGCAATTTACCAAAAGCAATCGTTTCGTCAACACAAACAGATTTTTTTCATTCAAATCGGATGCTTAATTCTTTCAAAAGCTTCCATTTTTTTTACTCTTAGCTCAGTATCTCTGAAACGATTGGACCTGGCTGTACCAAAAACTAATCACCACTTCTCCCCGTTATTACGAATTGATTATTTCTTTGAATCATTCAAATCGGATTCTTTGTTCTCTCAAAAACTTGATTTCTATTTTTTGCACTCTTTGCTCCATATTTTCGAAGCGGCAGGATCAGCACATCTCTCTATCGATAGTAATCGAAATCTTCAAAACGCGAAGAAATGCAAAAATTTTCAATTTCGATTTTTAGACGATTACAATAACTTAACATACGAGAATTTAAAAATATTATATAATCAATCTTCCACATTTAATACCCACCAAATTCTTACAGACAGAAACAAATATTTATAGACTAGCGTGAGCAGTCAACCAGTTCGGATGGTATAAACAACCAAACCATTTAGTATTGTGATTTGTTATAGTGTTATAGTAAATTAAATAGTTGTATTAATATAAACAATATAATGCAACATCAAGATAATGGAAAATCTATCTTACCGTTAATAGAAACACAAAATGTCTTGAACGACACTTGAATGACAGATAGTGCGTTTATACAACATCGGATACAACAACAACAACAACAGCAGCAGCAGCAAATTATTATGTCAAATGCTTACGATCAAAATGCGTATTTACAACAACAGCAATTAACTAGGTGAATACCCACGAACAAGGTGCGTATATACAACAGCTGCAGCAACAACAACAGCTACAGCAGCAACAACAGCTGCAACAACAACAAGAGCTGCAACATCAACATCAGATGCAACAATAACAACAGCTACAATAACAACAATAGCTAATTAATAAGTCAATAATTCATGAACAAAGAAAAAATACTGTCGTTAGCGACATGGAACTCGACAACCACGTCGGCTCCGTGGCAATACGTCAGAAGAAATAAAAGAAGACGTGACTCAACCGAAGATAATTTAAACAATGGAATATTAATAGTACCATAGAACAGATTTAGCATACCAGCTTCAACAACGAATACACAGAACGAGAACACTACAAAGGTCCAAAGGCCACCGCCAGTATTTGTGTATAATGTAGATAACTTTGCGAAAATGATTAGTGACTTAACATAAATACTCAAATACTCAACACAAAGGAATATATCACTAAATCAATGCTAAATGACATAGTCAAAATTAATGTATCAGCGCCAGAACAGTATAGAAAACTCGTTACTTGTGCCTTAAGGCAAATTGCTGGAACTTTCCGCATCAAAAAAAATTTTTTTTTAAAAGATTAACAGTTAAAAATTATACTTTGAAAAAAATAGATTTTTGAGAAACTATAAATTTAAAAAAAAATTCTTTTTTTTGGAATAAAGACTTTTTGAGAAAAAAAGTTTTTTTTTATTTTGAAATATTTTGAAAGTCTGAACATTTTTCCAAAGCAATCGTGCTTCTTTAACTGCATAGGGACGTAATATCGAAGCGAATGTAAACAAAATTCATACTTATTGTTAAAATATCCGATAATTTTATGTGACGCTAAAACCGCTTTTCTGTGAAATATACAGTTTGGAAACAGGTTTTCTGAAATGTTGATTTTTATATAAACCCTAGTAAAGATATAGAAAAATTTTTATTTTCGATTTTTTCGATTACTATAACTTACCCTACCGGAAGTTAAAATCAAGTACAACATTAGATAGAAATCAATATATACATGCACATTACACTAGACAACACGAAAATTTTTTCATATTGAACATAATAGAAAAAAGAAAATTTCATTTAGAGCGCAAGTAAAATATATAATGAACTTCCGATCGAAATCAAGATGACCATTGATAACAAAAACTCAAATATATATATATATATATATATATATATATATATATATATATTATAAAGAAATTGAAGATGAAAGAGATTGACGATATATTTAAATATAAGACTTATAAATGTAGAATGAAATAGATATGAATAATATGTATATATGGAATATGAAAATTGTTTCATAATCTCTTGTAGCAGGCATCACTGACTGAGATATGAAAATAATATGTCAATAAAAAAAATCCGATTTTAATTTTAGTAATTCCTAAAATTTGAATAATTTATTAAATAGAGAAGTTCCACTTCATTTCAACTAATATATTTTGTCTTATTTTATTTCAAGTGGCATGTTTGTGGATCCCCTGACAGGCGATTTTTTGCCAGCCGGCAGTTTTGTGAAACCAGCAGCATGTATCTGCGAAACATTGAAAGTAATCGCGAAAACAGGAGGACGCGCTCTCAGCGAGGGACCTCTTGCCAAGGACCTAGCCCAGGACTTGAAGGAAATGGGAAGTTTGGTCACGCTGCAAGATTTGGCTAGTTTCAAGTAATCTTTAAGTTTGTTTTTCGTTTGTTGATCTGCCGCGAATTGCATTTTTTCTCGTTACGTTGATTTGACTAGGTTCAAGTAATTTTTAACTTCTAGAAAGATAACTTTGTTTTTCGTTCGTTGATCTGCCTGTAGTGAATAAATTAACTTTGCAGTAAAACTAAAAACATGTTCTAATAAATTTTATATAAATCAAAAGAATAAGAACTAATATTAATATTGAATAGAAATGTTATCTGTAAGTTTTGAAGTCCAAGCCGGCAGCTACTTGAAGGGATCTGGAAATATCAGCGTGGTCGGGTTGTGATGTTGAGAATGAATTCGAACAAAATGATAACAATAAGTAGAAAAACTTGACACACAATAGAATGCAAACCAGTAATACACTAAAAGAATAGGATGACTGAACTAAACTATTGAACGATGTACTGAACTAACAACTAAATAGAACTGAATCAAACTGAATAAACTGAATCAAACGGTAGAGAGCTACTAGTGCCTGCACCGCCATTTTATATCCGTCGGAATTGCCCGATTTTAGAAATTTGAACAATATTTGTCGATATCGATAGTTTTCGTCGATAGTACTCAAAAGTTATCGAGAGCGTAATCCATGAACCCACTCACCACATATGCTTAAACCAAATGCAATAACCTAGTCGTCATTTGAGTCAGGAGCAGCATTCGATGGTTTAAATATTTAAATTATATATATTAATATCTTTCAATAACTTATTGTCGTGTCCGTCGCCCATATCCTACCAGTTACACGCGTTATTGCTTTATCCAATTCGTTTTATTAGATATGCAATAAAATGAATAAAAATGAAAATGGTATATGGCATAATGTTAGTGATATAAAATGAATTAAATATACAATATATATATTAGAAAGTAGTAACATAAAATAGATTAAAGTGAGATTTCTACTCAATTTCTTATTCTCATATTACTACTCAATTACTGATTATTATTGATGCATATGTTTCTACAATTATTTATAAAAAAAAAACATAGCAGTCTGAACATTTTTTTAAAAATTATAACATATATTATTATTGGTGTTTGTCCATGATGTGAGAGTCGGAAAGCTAGGTTTGGCTGGTTTTAACAGTTTTTTAATAATATTTTATTTCATATTTCTTATATATTCAAATGAATAATATTCCAGTCTCAAAAGGCCATCATACATAATTTTCCACAGAGAAGGGCCTAGAACAAAGCCCTACGGCATACCTTCGGTTATATTATATTTTTTTGTACCATCCCGTGAATCGTACATCAGTATTCTGTCTGCAAGGTAGCTAGCGACTATATTACAAAAGTGCACTGCCGATCTTGTCACGGAGTGCATTTATAATGCAATCCCAGTTTGAGGAACTAAAAGCATTTTTGATATCTAATGTAGCTACTTCTTTGCACGCCGCCTGTCTATCTGGTTTCAACAATTGTTTACTTGGCAGTATTACCATACTGTTTGTCTGGTAAGAGTGGGTCAACTGCTGCATTTTGGTTTATCTAGTGATTTACCTCTTACATTAGTTTGTCTACTACGCCAGTGTACCGTTCATGCGTTAACGTCACCGACTATTGGTGCTGTTTTGCATCCTCATAAAATATTTTTTACGACTCTTATGTAAACCTCATTAATAATTTATAACATTTTTTGTTTATCATTAATTTCCCGTAGGGTAAGTTATTGTAATGGGCCGAAAATCGAAATTGAAAATTTTTACAGTTCTCGACGTTTTGAAGGTTTCTGAACATTTTGGCATACCTCAGAAAAAATGGATGTGTGTGTGTGTGTGGGTATGTATGTATGGATACAAATTTCCAGTCACGTTTTCGGGCGCACTGATCAACCGATTTGAATGGTTCAAAAAACCTTCGATTCCTATTGATAGCGAAAAGTGCTGATTAGTTTTTGGCAAAGGCAAGTCCAGCCGTTTTGGAGATACGGAGCAAAGAATGCAGAATATAGAAATTGACTTTTTGAGAGAACGGAGTATCCGATTTGAATGATCTAAAAAACCTTCAAATAGTAATGATTGGGAGATTGGGAGAATTTCAAAGATACGGAGCTAAATATGTAAAAAATCGCAGTTTTTGAGAGAACTAAGCGTCCGATTGAAATGATTCAAAGAACTTTCTGCTTGTCTTAACAAAATAATTGATTTTGAAAAAAAATTTTGTTTCAACTTTTTTTTTCAAAAAAAAATTTTTTGTATATCGAAAATAATTCAGATTTTATTTTTAATTCTAAATATAGTTCTAATATACTTTAAACAAATAATTTCAACTTCGCAATTCAGTTTATATAATTCTGATAAATATTAGACCATGTTACAATATTAATAATAATCTAATTGAAAACATTCAGTATTCCTTGAACATTTCGTTACGGTACTTGAAGTTCCAGCAATTTGCCTTAAGGCACGATGCCATACACCCCACTAGTTTTTTTTATTTTAATCTCTTCAATGAATTCATCTGTTTTCACATTTGTTGATTTTAGTATGCTATGCGTGCATTCCCTTTGTATACATTATAATAATATATATCCTTGTTCTTTCAGCTCTTGACTATGTGGATTTAGTTTTTAAATATTTCTACATATAATTCACATATTTAGTACGGTGTCAAGCATTGGAAGAAAAAGTTAAGGTTTTGTTTGAAAATTAAATTTAATTTATAATAAAAATTCATATTATACGTATATATTGTTTAAAATTGTCTATTTTCTGTTTGTAGGCCGCAGTGGTCTCCTGCCCTGAACTTTTCCCTCTACGTGGGTCCGGATACGTTGTCTCTTTTGACAGGTATTTATCTTCTAATCTAATTAACTTCCCGTAGCGTAAGTTATAGTAATGGGCCAAAAATCTAATATGAAAATTTTTGCATATCTTCACGTTTTAGGGTTTCTGAACATTTTGGCACACCTCAGAAAATGAATGTGTGTGTGTGTTTTGTGTGTCCACGTTTTTTGTTCACGTTTTTGGGCGCACGGATCAGAACAGTTAAATATTTTCTAGAGTTAAAGAACAATTAAATATTTTCTAGTTAAATCTTTTAATTGTTCTGTCAGTAAATAACAGTTTTAATTACTAGGACTAGGTGCACCCTGCCTCTGAACGCAGGTAAAGTTTTTATAAAAATGATCCCCATCAGAGAGGACATATTGTCAAACAGTGCTAATGTTGAAGCTGTTAGTGAAGTTAATAATATGGCACCAGGCCGAGATCAATAGACACAGCAATTGATGATAACTTAGTTAAACCGGCTCCAATTAGTAAGCTACCTCGAATACTTATTTACGGAATTCAAGATATAAATGACATGACGCCCAGACAATTAAGTCATCTGAAAATGCTGCGAAACGAATTATACTCAGATATAGAAAATGCAGACAAAACGACCAAATATATAAACGGTGTTCCTAAAATAGTGAAGCTACACTCCTTTCGCGGGTCATCGCAGGAATGAACATCTTGAACGCGGCTTATCAATCTACTATCAGAACACCATGGTTCTTAGAACAGAACTGAACACATTTCGAGCGTCATCTTCTGTGGGTGTGAGTGATGTAATTTGTGTTACAGAGTCATGGCTAAAGTCTGATATTGCTGATGGCGAGGTAATCGACAACACATATGCGATTTTTAGGTGCGATAGAGATCAAAGCAGTGATAAAAATGAAAGAGGTGGTGGTGTATTCGTGGCAGTGAAGCGGAGTTGATTGCACTTCCTAATAATAATATTGAACAAGTCTTTGTGAAAGTTAAAACTGCACCACACGACCTAATTATCTGCTGTGTTTACCTACCTCCTAAATCAACTGTAGAATTTTATGAAGAGCATATATCTGCAATAGCATCAATATCCGAGAAATACACAAAAGCAAGTTTATTAATCGCAGGTGATTATAATTTACCCAGCAGCCTACAGCAAGAGCATTGTTCGTGCTTGGTTTATGAAGAGTTGTCACTACTAAACTATCGGCAATTTAACAACATTTAAAATCATAGTGGAAAACGTTTTACTTGTGCTTCAGTAATATACACACAACTGTAGAGCGTTCTCATGCTTTAACTCATGAGGACGCTTATCACCCAGTCTTGTCCATAAACATCAACACCCAAAAACATCTCCCTCCGAAAAAGACTCCTACATACCAATTTAATATAGCAGAATATGCTGGCCTGAATGAATATTTTTTAACACTAATTGGATTGATTTATACCAGACGTAGATAAACTATATAAATTAATAAATAATGGTTTATTACAGTTTGTTCCGCTCCTATCCTGCAAAAACACTAATTATCCCAGATGGTTCTCAAAAGAACTCATATCCACCATTAAACTTAAAAAAAACTCATACAGTGTACAAGAAAAATATGTTCAGATCCATATATAATGAATTCTGCCCACTAAGGTATGATTTCAAGAAATTGAGCAAGCAGTATTATGAAAACTTCATTACTAAAATGGAAAATAAAATTAAATCTGACAGTACTAAATTTTGGACATTTGTGAAAGAAAGAAAAAAAATTTAAATACACCTGACACTCTGACTTGGAATGGTTTAGTGGCTTATGAAGAAGAAAATATTGCGAACCTATTTGCATCTTTTTCAAAAGTACTTATTCATCTAGCATTAATAAAACTACATCTAACAAATATGAGGAGGGAGCAAATACCATCGACCCCGACCTCTCAAACGTAGATGTGAGTTTTGAAGAAGTATATAATCTACTGTTAAAATTAAATTTGAGAAAAGGAACCGGTCCAGATGGATTACTTAACACACTTGTCATGAATTGCGCCGCCAGCCTCTGTGAACCACTCACACACATCTTTGCTAAATCCTTACAACACTGTAGTTTCCCGTCAGCTTGGAAATCAGCTTATATAACACCAATTTATAAATCTGAATCTAAAACAACAGCCGATAACTATCGTCCCATTTGTATCCAATCTGCTATTTCTAAGTTGTTCGAAAAATTAGTGCTACCAAAATTGTAGTGGTCTTTCAAAAATATCATAACCACAAAACAGCATGGCTTTTGTGGTGGCAGATCTACAACAACAAATCTACTATTATATGCAGAACAAATATTAGGCGCAATGAACAACGGCATGGATGTCCATACAATTTCACAGACTTCAATAAAGCGTTTGATCTCGTCGATCACAATATTTTGTTAAGTAAGCTACAACGGTATGGTCAGGGGCAAAATATTAGACTGGTTTAGATCTTACTTAACAGGCAGGCATCTACAGGTGAGACTAGATGGCCATTTATCTGAAAAATACGAAGCGATATCTGGTGTACCGCAAGGATCATACCAATATTATTCAATATTTTTATGACATAGGCGCTGACTTTAATTCTGATTACCTTTTATACGCAGATGACCTCAAAATCTATAAAACTATAAATTGTGATGATGATAGATTATCGTTACAACAAGACATTGTGCAATTAAACAACTGGTGTATAAGTAATAAACTTAAGTTAAATGCTAAAAAATGCGCAATAATGATACTATCTCGATCCCACAATTCAATTCAACAAGATTACTATATAGAAAACCAAAAATTCAGTGACTTCTATAGAAGACCTTGGAGTTATTTTTGACATCAAGTTAAACTTCTCACAGCATATTAACAAAATTTCCCTTCAAGCCATAAAAACACTTAGCTTCATCATCAGGAGTGGTTGAGATTTCCACAGTATAGACACACTACATAGTGTGGAGTACAGAGTACATACTCTGTACTCCACACTCGTCAGGCCTATTCTAGAATATAACTCCATAGTTTGGACACCTCACACTGAATTATCAAGCCACAAACTTGATAGAGTGCAAAGGAAATTTGAAAAATACCTTAAGCACTTTGCGCGATCGAAAAGAATTAGTGCACATGAAAGCGATTTTTTTTTACTGAAATGCGAGGACAATAACTTAAGCAAACGACAACAAATTACTGATCTTTTCTTTTTTTATAATATAGTAAATGGCTCAATTGATTCCCCTGAGATTCTAGAAACAATTAATTTGATATGCCCTAGACAAGGATTAAGAACAAACCGTATTGTGCAGACAAAGGACGAAAAACTATATATTGAACGGTCCAATAAACAGAGTAGCAATGGTGGTCAACGAACAGTGCTCAAAACTAAACTTTTTTAATTCATCACATAATACATTTATCAAGATTGTCAAAAGGAATAATACTTATTAGAATTTGTTAGCATTACTAGTGTGTTTGAGTCTACATATAAGTGCATGTGCGGACATATGTATGTACTAGTGTATGAATAGATGCCCGTATGTGTGTTTGTAAAAATAACATGGTTTAACATTATTATGCTACATTACTATATAATTAACTGTATATAGCCGATTGGCGAATATTAAATAAATAAATAAATAAATAAATAATTATCTAATTAATTAGATGAAATAATTCCGCACGATCCATATTTCCTAAAAAGTTTAGCTAACAATACATTTACAATTATATATAATTCTGTAGATCATATTTGAGCTTTATCCAGACATCTAAAGAAAACTAACGCTGTATATTATACGTATCAATTAAAATAAAAAATGCTTATAGGGTTATTTTCAGAAATGTACACTTTTCAACAAGTACAGATTTAATTAAATTAGAACTATCAAAACAGAGACATGTTGTACGCAACATACCCAATATGTTTTTGTTGATCAGGAACCAAGCAGAAATAACAGAAATATTTATAATATTTACATATTATTCAACTACAAATTAAGCATCGAATCACCAAGAAAATCTAACATAATACAATGTTGTCAACTCTTTAGTCACACCATACTGCAATAAACTATTTGCTTGCCTAAAATGCCGTGTTAATCATCATACAAAAGCTTGCACCAAAACCCCGAATGGTCCGGCATGTTGTTATTTTTGCGAAGGTGCTCATTCAACTAACTAATGCGGTTGCACTTACTTCCAAAAAATTGAAAAACAAAGAAACAAAACTCTATTAAATCAATCAGTCATAAATCCAAATCCATTAGACAAAAATTTTAAATATCCTAGCAATTTAAACATTTCTTTGGCCTTAAAACCAACAAGTTATGACTCATCCTATGCAGACATAACAAAAAATAATTTTTCTGTTTCTAATAATTCTCCATCAAATCCCGAATTTGGCACTCCAGCGACATTTATTTTAGAATTTAAATCTTTATTCAATCAGCTCATGCAACACCATTATGAGAAATACGTTATCCACGTTAGTCAACAACATAAACAATGGCAAAAATAATTGAAATTGCTGAATGGAATGCCAACGGTTTATTACCTTACAAAAATGAAGTAGAATTATGTTTAAAATTCAACTTGGTAGATATCTTTATAATCTCAAAATCACACTTTACAAAAAAAATCTACTTCAAAATTTATAACTACACTAATATAAAGCATTTTGCTCTACCAAATATTTGTAATGATTCTCTACAAGCAACTAAAAACTCTGTTGAAACAAATTCATATAATTTTTATGTTTCTGCTGTTTATTGTCCACCAAGATTAAAAATTTCTTGTTCTCAGTATTCTTCATTTTTCTCACAATTAGGTAATAAATTTATCATTGGTGGTGATATCCTATAAAACGCATTTTATTTATAACAAATATTTTCAACGCCATCTTTCAATATAATTATTGGCCCACAGCCTGGAAGACTGCAGAAATCAATATGATCGCTAAACTAAACAAAAAACATCACACTGCTAGTTTCTACCGTCTTACCAGTCTATTATCGATATTA